AAATGAGGGAATATATCAATCATAAATAAGGAAGTATTTCATGAGGAAAAGACTCTTTCCATTTCATATTATTGTTTTCACCTACATGAAAGGTAAGGAATGCGCAATTATCTCCCCTATTTTATATTTTTCAGTCAGGACATATATTCGTGTTTACGGGGATGTTGAATTTTATAGATAATGATAATCAACTAGCTGTCGTTATTGGACACGAAATGTCTCACGCTTATCTCTCTCATGCTGTAAGTTTGAACTTGTATCTCATGTCAGCACCTGAGGGTTTATTCTCCATGAGTTTTGCTTTTATTGTTTTTGATCAATCATATAAGATGCTTTGAATGGCAAATCAAAACGATGTTTTGTGACATGAGTATTTTCTCTGAATCAATAAGTAACTTTGTTTGTGTCAAGATATCTTCAAGGAAAATAAGGAAGATGTTTTTTCACATGTATCTTCTCTCTGGATGTCTAAGAATCTCTGGGTTTCATCAATGGCTTAGCTAATTAAGTGAGGGCCCAGTTAGACTGCCTCTACCCTAATATTTTTTAAAAATATATGCCCTCCTGCATTTTTTTTCTGAGGGTGGGGGGTCTGTGGTCATGGTTCAACCAGTCACGATGGTAGTTGATCCACTGGGTCCAATTTCAGGAAAATTCTTCTGGTCATATTTGCCGTGAGTATGGTAATTCTCAATTTTTAAATTTCAGCATAAACGGCAAATTCTTATGGTCAATTTTGTCATGAAGAACTGAGTTTTCTGCAATTTTTTTTACTATTTGTCTTTTTTTTCGCAGGCGGAGTTAATGAGTAACGCCCAGTTTTTAGATATGTTGATTATATTTTTAATGGCAGCGCTCTGGACGATCATACCTAGTGATGGAATAGCCTTGATTACCCAGTGGTATTATCATAAAAGTATTGATGTAAGTTGAAATGTTGGGGTTGTTTTGTAAGTAGGCAATCTTTTTCAGTTAATAGGTGATCTAAAATTTTTCGAGACATGATAATCTCATTGGGTTTACTGATGTCCTATTTTGAAAAGGCAACCCCCATTTCTAATATAAGCTGCCTCGATGAGGATTCTAAAACTCATGTCATAAAAAAGAGATGAGCTGTAGCAAGTTTGTTACATCACGTCACCTCTACCTCAGCATATAGTCAGTCTTCTAGGATAATTTTCTAACTCACTTATTGGTCATCGACTGGAGCAATTTTGCAGCATATACATTGTGCTTTGGGTAATGTCTTGTCAAAAAACGTCAAAATATAAAAAATTTTCAAAAATAATTAGGTAGGCAATTTTCAATAATTAAGATAGCTGGTTGACGATATTTGAATGTCTTGGCATTATCACTGTTTTGAAAAAAATTGAGGAAAATCATCAATGAGCTGACACCCCTTGTCAGTTAGGTCTTCGATAGGATGCCTGTATACAGTTTCAGTGTATTTGCATTAATTTTGATCATTATAATTTACGTTATTTTGAATCAAGTTTTAATTTCAGTTAATGTGTAGATTACCGTACAGTAGAAAATTAGAAAAAGAAGCAGATTATGTCGGGATACAATTTGCTGCCAAGGTGATATTTTAATCATCTTCTTGTAGCGAGACAGTGTCTGTGGATCATGAGACAGTGTCTGTGGATCAAGAGACAGTGTCTGTGGATCAAGAGACAGTGTCTGTGGATCACGAGACAGTGTCTGTGGATCAAGAGACAGTGTCTGTGGATCAAGAGACAGTGTCTGTGGATCAAGAGACAGTGTCTGTGGATCAAGAGACAGTGTCTGTGGATCAAGAGACAGTGTCTGTGGATCAAGAGACAGTGTCTGTGGATCAAGAGACAGTGTCTGTGGATCACGAGACAGTGTCTGTGGATCACGAGACAGTGTCTGTGGATCACGGGACAGTGTCTGTGGATCACGAGACAGTGTCTGTGGATCACGAGACAGTGTCTGTGGATCACGAGACAGTGTCTGTGGATCGCGAGACAGTGTCTGTGGATCACGGGACAGTGTCTGTGGATCACGAGACAGTGTATGTGGATCACGAGACAGTGTCTGTGGATAGTGTATTTTGTTTCTAAAATTGTGTATTTATAACACTAAAATTTATTTTTATTCCAAAACACGACAAAAGAGCTGTAATGGAGAAAAATTTTGAATTATTCAATATTATAAACTAAGTTGAAAAGCAGAATTCATGTGGTGACTTCATGCAACTCTTTAATAGGTTTTTATAATGAAATGAAATGAAATAATCTCTGTTGGTTTTATATTTCAGTCGTGCTTTGACGTACGAGAAGGCTCTGTATTTTGGTCTAAAATGAGTCAAGTAGAGAAATTAGAAACTAAAGTAACGAATGAATCAACGTATGTACCAGAATGGTTATCAACACATCCTCTCAGTGAGAAACGTGTTGATCATATCGACAATTTACTTCCTAAGGTGAGTATATTAGTCTGTACAGTGAAACCTCTCCAGACTCACACCCCAGGTTTCAATGTATTTTATTTATGTTGAAGGGATCGCAAAGATGTTTTTTAAATTGTTTATACACATAATCAGTTCAGAAGATAACCATGTTACAATAACTTTTAACAAGCAGGCGAGGGAATGCTTAAAAATGGTTGCTTACTGAAGGGCCAGGTTGTACGGCGATATTTCAAACAAAGCTAACCAATGATTCTGTATTTGATGGCCCTGACATAACATAGTTAGTCGAGATAATACCCGGTTTCCCATCGTCAGTGATAAGGGTTGAATGAGCTTAATTTCTGAAATGGTAATACAGAGTTATCTAATCTTATTGTAGTTTAATTCTGTTATATTTTTCAGGCGTTAGTTTTACGAGAAGAATGTAACTGTCCCCGGCTGTCGTCTGTTGACCCTAGAGACAAAATCAAAATGTTGAGTAATTTCGTAGATAATGAAGTGGCCATTAGAAAAACTGGGAGAAATTTATCACAGTTACATCATGCCCACAGTCCAAAACCTACCCCAGCCTAGTTTTTAATTTCTACTAATCCTTGTGATATTTTTGTATGAGTGGTTCAGTGTAGTTCCGTTTTTCTTATTAGCTTTACTTTAACTATAGCCACTTCAGTTAGGGTCTAACGACAGCCCTCTTGAACGTTCAATGATATTTCTGCCCTCTCCAGTACTAACATTTTGTGAGGAGTGTTTATCATGATAGGTCAAAAGGTCAATTTGAGGAAAGTTCAAGAGGGCTATCATTAGACCCCAACTGAAGTGGCAATATTAGAAAATTAGACTGTGAGTAGTTGTAACAATATATATAATTGAAATTACGAAAGCCCAGGCTTTCTTACCTGGTGTCATGTTATTAAGATCTTGTCAAAATAGAAATTTAATTTTTTTTGGACTGGACATCAGATATCTCCTATTTATATAGATATAACTATTTATATGTATATCAGGGCATTATTAAGTTTCAGTTGGCACCTTCCATCAGTGCTGCTGAAGCAAAGTAAACAGTCTCTAAACAGTGGACTGCTATTATCTAAGCGAAGCAAAAACTTTTTAAATTTTTTGATATTTTTTTAAATTTTTTTTTAGAGAATTGCTACCGTATATCAAAATAATATTGTTTGTCTTTGCATTGATAAAAATATGGGTGTCTACAGGCTGTGCCCGTTACAGATTACTATACAATACAGGCAGTAGGGCTGCTTGTTCAGATAGGATAATAAACCACTACCCATCAAAGATATTGAATTCGAAATCGAAAAAGAACAAGCTAATGCTGTGGTCCTGGAAAAATTTCCTTCATTGTCCACTGCATGGCGTTGTCCGTCTTGTAAAAAATACTCACTTCAATCAATAAGTTGAAAATGCATAAAACTAAACAACTGTAGTCTATAGTAAGTAATTTGTATTTATTGAGTTACCTCCCTTGTTGATAAGTTCAATAGTCATAGAGGTAATAATAAAGTGTACGCAGGAAACCGCAAGTAAACGATCTTCGGCCGACCAAAATTAAAACCACAGTTTTTGATCGGCTAGTGTTGACCATAATCGACTTTAAATGTTTGTGTCTTGAGTCATCGCATCATTTTACTGTAGCCAGTGAAGATTACGTAACTTTTTGCCGTACAATCAATATGGCGTCAATGTCCCATGCCTGGCTTCAATAGACGTCATTGGTTACAGCGCAATGACGTAAGACAGTCCTCTAGCAGTAAGTTCTCTCCCCTGGACTAAACTGAAAGTAACGAGAAGGAAACAAACAGACGAGGTTTTTATTTTAAAGTAAGTTTAGTGTTTTTTAGTCTGATTATTTTATGTGAATTATGGTGTTTCTGATATTTAAAGTAATTTTTGATGAACATCCAAAACAGGACAACGAAATCCTGAAACTTGATCCGTTCGTTCAAAATGAAACAATCATTGTAGCCTAACTAAAGTCAATCAATGTCGTTTGTAAACTCAAAGCCATAATGTTTACCGGTACAGCCTTTCTGTCGAGGGATCTGATTGGCTGTATTTTCTGGCATATAATTCAATCAAATTGCTGCATTCTATAATAGGTGGCTATTGCAGTCAAGGTGTAAGTTCGTAATAGCTTGACATTGTGAAGATGAGTCAAGGTATAAGTACCAAGTTCGTAATACCTTGAAATTGTGAAGATGGGTTGAGGTATAAGACACAGTTCGTAATAGCTTGACATTGTGAAGATGAGTCAAGATATAAGATGAAGTTTGTAATAGCTTGACATTGTGAAGATGAGTCAAGGTATAAGATGAAGTTTGTAATAACTTGACATTGTGAAGATGAGTCAAGGTATAAGTACTAAGTTCGTAATATCTTGACATTGTGAAGATGAGTCAAGGTATAAGATGAGGTTAGTAATAGCTTGACATTGTGAAGATGAGGTTAGTAATAGCTTGACATTGTGAAGATGAAGTTTGTAATAGCTTGACATTGTGAAGATGAGTCAAGGTAGAAGTACTAAGTTCGTAATAGCTTGACATTGTGAAGATCAGTCAAGATAGAAGTACCAAGTTCGTAATAGCTGGACATTTTGAAGATGAGTCAAGGTATAAGATGAAGTTTGTAACAGCTTGACATTGTGAAGGTGAGTCAAGGTATAAGATGAAGTTTGTAATAGCTTCACATTGTGAAGATGAGTCAAGGTATAAGACACAGTTTGTAATAGCTTGACATTTTGAAGATGAGTCAAGGTATACGATGAAGTTTGTAATAGCTTGACATTGTGAAGATGAAGTTCGTAATAGCTTGACATTGTGAAGATGAAGTTTGTAATAGCTTGACATTGTGAAGATGAGTCAAGGTATAAGATGAAGTTTGTAATAGCTTGACATTGTGAAGATGAGTCAAGGTATAAGATGAAGTTTGTAATAGTTTGACATTGTGAAGATGGGTCAAGGTATAAGATGAAGTTTGTAATAGCTTGGCATTGTGAAGATGAGTCAATGTAGAAGTACTAAGTTAGTAACAGCTTGACATTTTGAAGATGAGTAAAGGTATAAGATAAGGTTAGTAATAGCTTGACATTGTGAAGATGAAGTTTGTAATAGCTTGACATTGTGAAGATGAGTCAAGGTAGAAGTACTAAGTTCGTAATAGCTTGGCATTGTGAAGATGAGTCAAGGTATAAGTACTAAGTTCGTAATAGCTTGACATTGTGAAGATGAGTCAAGGTATAATATCTTGACATTGTGAAGATGCCAGCGATCATGTATTTTACATTCCCATGAAATAAAAATGTACAGTTTTTGTTCATATTCTTGTCTTTTTCAGATTTTAGTCATGTGATGAAATGAAGCTGAGTCAATCAGCGATTTGAAATTCAACGATGCTTTCTACACGACTTGCTCGGTGTTCTTGCCTTCTTAGGTCAAAGGTCAGACCCAGTTCTGCTGCAGAAATTTTAACGCCTGGCTGTAGGGTCGTATATAAAAACAGAAATCAAATTTTACGACAGTTTCAACAATCGGCAGAAAACAGATCAAAACTATTTTGTCAATCAAGAAACAGACCAATTTTTGGAAAGCGAGAATTCAAAGTCTTAAACGTGCTTAAAAATCAGACATTTTTAAACTGTGGTAGTCTCAATCGTCCATTTCATTCCACGTCATGTAGACCTATATCTCCAGGATTTTGGGTTTTTCTGTCGAAGATAGGAGTTATTTTATTAGGGAGGTGAGTGGATCAAAGAATTATCGGATTTGATATTGTGGGAGAAATAAAAAATAAATAAAATTGTATTGTCTTTGCTTTAAAATGCCATTCAAATCCTAAAATGGAATGAAGCAATGAAATAGAACATAATACAAGGAAAATTGAATGAATTAAAGTGATACTACGTCTTAGAATGAACATAAATTTAAATTCTCAAGAATGGTCAATATGAGTATATATTCATCAGTGAACTTACCTGGTGTCATAAAGTTACAACAGAATCCCTGTAAAATCGAATTGGAAAATTGGAAAATTCATAAAAGTAAGTAATTATTGAAAAACGCTTAATCTTGACATTTACCTTTTTTCAATAGTTAATTGCATATTTATGGATAATTACTAAGTTTATTGGATTTATCGGATTATATAAGGATCCTGTTATGTTATTTATGACACCAGGTATATCTACTGATCAATATATGCTTTTATTGGCCAAGTTTAAAATTCTTAAATTTTATGTTCATTGTAAGACGTAGTATTCCTTTAATCAATCGCTAAAAATGAAATAAAATTAAGTATTCGAAATTGGAGCAAAAACTTAAAACTTCTGGGCACTGTTTCCCTTTCCTGTTCATTTGTCTTCCATTTTGATAATAATAATACATGTAGATCTTTGTTTTATTATTTTCTAGACGAGCTACAGATAAGTTTCCAGTCATATATGTTTTATTTGGGGCAGGATTTCGTAAGTTTTCTTCGTGTACAAAAATCTTTCAGCTCCGTAACGCTGAATCTGTCTCGTTGTGTCTTCTGGTGCGAGACTCTATACTTCTGGGGCGAGTGTCTGGGCCTGTATGAATAAAATACTTAAGTCTAAGTTTTTGACTTTAAATACATATTTAAGTTTTTTTTATGCAGACGGCCCAGGCTTTTTACAATGGTTTGTCGTTTGATAGTAATATTGAGACCTAAATATACTCCTTAAATTTACAACTTTTCTGACACTTACTTATGTATTAGACGCTAACGCCGTGACTATTGGTTTACCAATGAAACATTTTGAATCAATATCTTACGAAGTTTTGGTTTTCATTGACTTTGTTTATAAACCCCAAAATCAACATACATATCATGTGACACTATTCACATAGTTCCGTAAAAAATATGGCTTCTATTCATTACTGTGATATGTTCGCTTGCAGAAATACCATGGTAGACTATTGCTAAATCTGCAGATACATACAGTATATCAAAACAATATACATATTACATTATATACATGTCATTACATCTGATGACGACACGTGTATATTGTGTTGAAACGCTATGTACCCAACCTTATTAAAGAAGTGTGTTATATTCCATAATATTGTCTTGTGTTTTGTTATACCTGCTCCTCGCTTATATTATGTCGTTCAAATCTTACATACAAAAGTAATACATTTATTTATGATTCTGTATTGTGTTTATTTACAGTACTGTTATTAGCTAATAGTTATTATTACTATCATAATGAATATACACCCATCACTGGACGAAAGAGAATCAAGGCTTTTACATCCAGTCAGTTTCGTAAGATTAGTAAGGCAGAAGCAGAAATGGTGAGTCTAAATGTGATTTTGAAATGACAAAAATTTAATATTTTAATATAAAGCCACTGAAAAGGCCTGCCAAGATTGCATCAATGGTTTTTAGTCATTTGATGGGACAGACAATAAACTGAGGCTTTGTGTGCTACAGGCTGTAGTTCATAGTGCTGGGAATAATTATTGAAATATCAATTATCACCGTTATAATATATACCAATAACGATGACTGAAAAGTCATTGTGACATCTGATACCGTAAATTTGGAGATAAGCTTGTTTTTGTGATATTGCTCCAACTGAAACCCATTTAAAAAAAAATGGTGTTGTCAGCCTGAACTTTATATTTGGCAATGACAATGTCTGGCTTCTTGAAAAAATATCTTATCTTTTCAGTATATTGAACGGTATCGTGATAAACTGTTACCCGCCACCCACCCGGCTGCAATCCGGGTACAGAAAATAACCGCCCAGTTATTACAGGGGAATAAAGAGCTACAAGAAATGGTTATAAATAATGATATTAAATCATGGAGTATTTGTGTTGTTGATGAACCAGTGAGAAATGCCTTTGTTTTACCAGTGAGTTGTTTGATATTAATCGAATTTGAATTTTAAGAACGTTTTCTGTGGGACGTTCTGTTAACTCTATCCATTTTGTCCTGTCAGCATATTGGTAAGCAGTACTCAAATTGTTAGCGATAAAAATCACAGTGACATTTTACTTTTACGTGTAAATATCAGGTAAGTCCACTGATGAACAAAGACTCATTTTGGCCAAGTTTGTGAATTTAAATTTTTTTGTTGATACTATCAGGTAGGCAGTCTTCCTTTAAACAAATACTCTTACTTCACCTGCAATCCTGATTTTTATATTTTTCAGTCAGGACATATATTCGTGTTTACGGGGATGTTGAATTTTATAGATAATGATAATCAACTAGCTGTCGTGATCGGACACGAAATGTCTCACGCCTATCTCTCACATGCTGTAAGTCTGAACTTTTTTCTTTAATAAAAAGCAGCAAATTGATCATATCATCCAACTGGGGGTTATTTCTTGTTGGGCCTTCTCTCTCGTGTCGTCTTTGATCAATCCAATGAGGTTTCTTTGAATATCAAGTCAACGTAAGACTGACACCATTTCTAAATATGTTTATCTTCTCTAAATCTCCTAGTAATGTAAATGAAATTTATGTCCCACTGGAAAATGCTAGATATTGTGAAGACGGGAGGGGGGAGGGGGTGGGGGGACTGAATAACTGAGTTGGAGGTGATTTTTTATTACTGTTTGGTATTTATATTGCAGGTGGAGTTGATGAGTAAGGCCCAGTTTTTAGATATGCTGATTATATTTGTAATGGCAGCAATCTGGACGATCATACCTTATGATGGTATAGCTTTGATTACCCAGTGGTATTATCGTAAATGTATTGATGTAAGTTGAATTGTTGGGGTTGTTTTGTAAGTTGGCAATCTCTTTCAGTTAATAGGTGATCTCAAATCTTTCGAGACCCCGATAATCTCATTGGGTTTACTTGCTAATGTCCTTTTTATACGCCCACATGAAATGGGGGGCGTATATTGCCGTTACCCATGTCCGTCCGTCCGTCCACAATTGCTCGTAAACACTCTACAAGACACAATTCTTGACAGATTTTGACAAAACTTGGTATGAGTGTCGGTAATCATCCAAGGATCAACCCTATTGATAATCAGAAGAATCGAAAAATATTTAGTATAAGTTATTGCTCATGCTCTTGAAAACGCGTTAAATTTTTAGCTCATAAACACTCTAGAAGGGACAATTCTTGACGGATTTTGACAAAACTTGGTTTGAGTGTTCGTATTCATTCAAGGGTAAACCCTATCGAAAATTAGAAAAGTCATGAACCTATGTAATTATTGAAAAACGCTTAATCTTAATATTAAGTGTTTTTCAATAGTTAATTGCATATTTATGGATGATTACTAAGTTTTTTTAGATTTATCAGATTATATAAGGATCCTGTTATGTTATTTATGACACCAGGTATATCTTCTGATCAATATATGATGTTATTGACCAAGTTTAAAATTCTTAAATTTTATGTTCATTGTAAGACGTAGTATTCCTTTAATCAATCGCAAAAAATGAAATAAAATTAAGTATTTGAAATAGGAGCAAAAACTTAAAACTTTAATTTAGTTTCCCCGTATTATTTGCGTTGATTTGGATTGTTTTTTTTTTTCAATTTCAGTTAATGTGTAGATTACCGTACAGTAGAAAATTAGAAAAAGAAGCAGATTATGTCGGGATACAATTTGCTGCCAAGGTGATATACATCTTCTTGTAGCGAGACAGTGTCTGTGGATCACGGGACAGTGTCTGTGGATCAGGAGGCAGTGTCTGTGGATCAGGAGACAGTGTCTGTGGATCAGGAGACAGTGTCTGTGGATCACGGGACAGTGTCTGTGGATCACGAGACAGTGTCTGTAGAAAAAGAGGCAGTGTCTGTATATCAGGAGACAGTGTCTGTGGATCAGGAGACAGTGTCTGTGGATCAGGAGACAGTGTCTGTGGATCACGAGACAGTGTCTGTGGATCACGAGACAGTGTCTGTGGATCAAGAGGCAGTGTCTGTGGATCAAGAGGCAGTGTCTGTGGATCAGGAGACAGTGTCTGTGGATCAGGAGGCAGTGTCTGTGGATCAGGAGGCAGTGTCTGTGGATCACGAGACAGTGTCTGTGGATCAGGAGACAGTGTCTGTGGATCACGAGACAGTGTCTGTGGATCACGAGACAGTGTCTGTGGATCACGGGACAGTGTCTGTGGATCAGGAGACAGTGTCTGTGGATCAGGAGACAGTGTCTGTGGATCACGGGACAGTGTCTGTGGATCACGAGACAGTGTCTGTGGATCAGGAGACAGTGTCTGTGGATCAGGAGACAGTGTCTGTGGATCAGGAGACAGTGTCTGTGGATCAGGAGACAGTGTCTGTGGATCGGAGACAGTGTCTGTGGATCAGGAGGCAGTGTCTGTGGATCACGAGGCAGTGTCTGTGGATCACGAGACAGTGTCTGTGGATCACGGGACAGTGTCTGTGGATCACGAGACAGTGTCTGTGGATCACGGGACAGTGTCTGTGGATCAGGAGACAGTGTCTGTGGATCACGGGACAGTGTCTGTGGATCAGGAGACAGTGTCTGTGGATCACGGGACAGTGTCTGTGGATCACGAGACAGTGTCTGTGGATCACGAGACAATGTCTGTGGATCACGAGACAGTGTCTGTGGATCAGGAGACAATGTCTGTGGATCACGAGACAAAGTCTGTGGATCACGGGTAGTTTGTTTCTAAAATTTTGTATTTATAACAGTAAAATTTATTTTACATTTTAATCCAAACACGACAAAAAAGCCATCAGAGAAGTATGATGGAGAAAAATATTTTAGATTGTTCAGAATTATGCAAATTAGTTGCAAAGCAAAATTTCCATGGTGACTTCATGCAACTTTTTGATAAGTTTTATAAAAACTCTAGTATGTGTTCTGTAACTTTTTTACTATGAAAAAGATTGTTTTTTTCTCAATACTTCCTATGCCGATTTCAGTCGTGTTTTGACGTACGAGAGTGCTCTGTATTTTGGTCTAAAATGAGTCAAGTTGAGAAATTAGAAATGAAAGTAACGAATGAATCAACGTATGTACCAGAATGGTTATCAACACATCCTCTCAGTGAGAAACATGTCAACCATATCAACAAATTAATTCCCAAGGTGAGTATATTAGTCTCCAAACCGGAATCTCGGGTTTCACTGTATCTAATTTGTTTTGAAGGGATTGCAAAGATAGTTTCTAAATTGTTTATAAACATTTTAGAAAAAGACTGTGTTACAATAAAACAAGCAGGCGAGGGAATGCTTAAAAATGGTTGCTTACTGAAGGGCCAGGTTGTACTGAGATATTTCAAACAAAGCTAACCAATGATTCTGTATTTGATTGCCCTGACATAAGATAGTTAGTCGAGATAATACCTTCCGAATTTTATACCCGGTGTCCCATTGTCAGTGATACAGGTGATACAGGTGGGACAAGCTAAATCCCTGAAAAAGGTTGTCTTATCTTGTAGTTGTCAGAATTGTTGTCTGTTATATTTTTCAGGCGTTAGTTTTACGAGAAGAATGTAACTGTCCCCGGCTGTCGTCTGTTGACCCTAGAGACAAAATCAAAATGTTGAGTAATGAAGTGACCATTAGAAAAACAGGGAGAAATTTATCACAGTTACAACACACCCCAGTCCAAAACCTGCCTCAGCTTAAATCTTAAAGAATACTACCTCTTAGAATGGACATAAAATTTAAAATCTTGAACTTGGTCACAAGTGTATATATTCATCAGTTAGAATTACCAGGTGCCATGACTAAAGAATAGAATCAAAGAATAAAACATTTCTGAGCATGTTCAAAAGTTCTTAGTTTAAGAAATATTACTTAGTATTATTAGATTATATACTTATGACACCAGGTAAGTCTTCTCATTTTAACCAAGTTTAATAATTTCAATTTTTTGATCATCCTAAGAGGTGGTTTACCTTTAATTTATACTAATCCTTGTGATATGAGAGGTTAGAAGAACTATATATATTCAAAATTACAAAAGCACAGCCTGAGTTGGAGAAATATAACTCAGGAGTAGTACACTATAAAATTGTATTCTGTTATTGAATTAACTTACACTGTTGAAATATTGATGTTTATTTTTCTAGTTAAAATATTGGATATTAATAAAAACTATGTATACAGCCTGACCATTTATTATATTATTAAAGAGATTGTAAAGAGGTTTTCAAATTTTTTTATGTGTGTCAGGGGGACATTGATAGCATCAATTTGTACCATTCTAATTCTCAATCAGACAAATGTGGTTCCTGCATTTCCACTAAAACTAAGTGTTTTATAACGACACTAGGCCCTATGTGATAAAACGTATTTTGCGATTGGTGACGTCATAGAACAATTAGTGGAATTGCAGGAACCACAGACATCTGATTGAAAGTGGAATGGCGAAAATTGATGCTATCCGTGTCATCGACAAGCATAACAAATTTAGAAATCCTCTTTACAATCTCTTTAAGATCCTGGGGTCTTATAAACTAATAAGATACTTGCATCTTGTTAAAATAGCTTGATTGGATTGTACGTTACCGAATACAACCAATAAGAGTTCTCAACAGAAATTGTGTAAACATTATACCACTCTGTTTACAGTCTTTCTGACAAGTGTTATGACCTGCTGTATTTGCTGGCGTACAGTCCAATCTGGTGGCTATGACAGTCAAGGTATAAGACGAAGTTGTAGAAGCTGTCATGAGAAAAGAGACAATGTGACAATAAACACAGGCCCTATGTGCTACTGGCTCTACACCTACAAAGTACAATAAAAATATGGATAAAAATAGCTTTATTTACAAATATACAATAAAGTAATTTATTATGTTATGATTTGATATTTTTCATTGCACACTGCATGGTGTTGCCCATTTCTTTAGCCCAGGTAGCCAAAGTAGGTCAAAATCATCAGAACTGCTAACTATCAGAAATTTAGATTAACTTTTGCAAATTAAACAAGCTAGCAGATCTCTTTATTTGTGAGCCAATGTTTTACATAGGAGTTTTTAGAAACTTCTTAACTCTTAAAGAGACATGTTTGTCATTTTCGAGGGTTGATTTGGGCCTTAAATATATATATAAATAAATAGTCTATGAAATGTACAAAAATCACATAATTCCTTCAAGAATATCTCAAACTAGAAAATTTCTTTTCCTATTTCTATATATATGGCTGAGTCTCACGAAAAAACGAATCATATTTTCAACTATAAACATGAATAATTCTAGACACACATCGATTTGCAGGCTTGAGTTTTGAAGCTGAGCTGTGAATACTATTACTGATTAGCTTAGCTGAAAAATTTGCGTTTCTAAGACTTGGGAACGATTGGTTGAAGAGGTGGTAATTCTGTCCCTTTCAATACAAGCTACTAAACAAGACAAACGATTTGAAAAATGAATGAATGTAAGAATAAAGAATGAAAACACAGGAAGGAAAGTAAACTATTTAAATTGATGTTTAAATTCTGTGACACTGACAGACTCACTAGCTTTCTCATCATAATCATACCATTCTAATTCCTACAAAATAATTAATCAAACTCGTTAATTAGCTTTAACCAATCAAAGTATGTCATGCAGAACCCGTTTCTTGATAAAATAAGAAATTGTGGGATAGTGAAATCTAAGGAGATTGTTGCCATGTTGCTCTACTTTCGAATTCGCTATTCCACATTTGTGTTTTGATTGTTTGGGATTGTTAAGAAGTTTTCTAAACTTTTTCTTGAACACTGATAGCATCAATTTACAAGATTCCAATTTTCAATCAGACATCTGTGCATCAATTTACATCATTCAATCAAATGTCTGTGAGTCCTGCAATTCTACTACAACTAGGCCTTTTATGGCTATATATGAGGACTTTAGCGATACAGACTGGTTTACCGGTCATGCCCGGAAAATGCAGCCAAATCAACATCTCTAACGCAGAGTTTTTGAGAATTTGGTAAACCTCTTATAACTTATCCAATACTTACAGTTAAATCAATTTCAAAAGGTGTATTTGACTCTTCCCCTTTCACTTTCCACCCATCCTACAAATATAATTATATTCTTCACATATAGTGAAACTGTCTGCAATAATTATCACAGATATCACATATAGTGAAACTGTCTGCAATAATTATCACAGATATCACATATAGTGAAACTGTCTGCAATAATTATCACAGATATCACATATAGTGAAACTATCTGCAATAATTATCACAGATATCACATATAGTGAAACTGTCTGCAATAATTATCACAGATATCACATATAGTGAAACTGTCTGCAATAATTATCACAGATATCACATATAGTGAAACTGTCTGCAATAATTATCACAGATATCACATATAGTGAAACTGTCTGCAATAATTATCACAGATATCACATATAGTGAAACTGTCTGCAATAATTATCACAGATATCACATAAAGTGAAACTGTCTGCAATAATTATCACAGATATCACATATAGTGAAACTGTCTGCAATAATTATCACAGATATCACATATAGTGAAACTGTCTGCAATAATTATCACAGATATCACATATAGTGAAACTGTCTGCAATAATTATCACAGATATCACATATAGTTAAACTGTCTGCAATAATTATCACAGATATCACATAAAGTGAAACTGTCTGCAATAATTATCACAGATATCACATATAGTGAAACTGTCTGCAATAATTATCACATATATCACATATAGTGAAACTGTCTGCAAAAATTATCACAGATATCACATATAGTGAAACTGTCTGCAATAATTATCACAGATATCACATATAGTGAAACTGTCTGCAATAATTATCACAGATATCACATATAGTGAAACTGTCTGCAATAATTATCACAGATATCACATATAGTGAAACTGTCTGCAATAATTATCACAGATATCACATATAGTGAAACTGTCTGCAATAATTATCACAGATATCACATATAGTGAAACTGTCTGCAATAATTATCACATATACATATAGTGAAACTGTCTGCAATAATTATCACATATATCACATATAGGGAAACTGTCTGCAATAATTATCACAGATATCACATATAGAAAAAAAACAATCAAGAGTTTTACGTTCTACTTTTCTGCACCTAATTGAGCTAATGGAGACGGGCAACACCATGCAGTGTGCAATGAGGAAAATATTGACAGGGCAGTTGCATTAGCATAAAAATCTCTACAAGCAAGACAATTCAGCTGATAAAAATCTTGTCCAAAGTATGACAAAGTATAGTAGTATTCCTCCAAAGAGAAGTACCATTAGCAGTTCAAAAAGAATAAGGATGGTCTGCTCCCTACGAGACACCCACCACTACTATCTAGGTGAACATCATGAGATACAATCAGATCAATTCATGCCAGACATTATTAATTATTATATTATTAGCATTCTCTTTATTGATTTTGAACTGTCAAATTATTGATCGATTTATTTCAGGTAGGAAACAAAAAACTTCATATGCTTACATTAGGTTTAAAATCTGTTGGTTGAACGCCACGACAATCGAACGTGACAATAGTTCTAAATTTCCCAGCATCCTCTATATTATATTTACCTAATGAATCTCTTATTATATCTACAAATAAAACGTAACGAAAAAAAATTACCATAAATACAAAAACAAAAAACATGAAGGAACTGAAGTCTTAATAGTCTCACATCCTACTTATCTGCACCATGGGGCTAATGAAGACGGACAACACACTGCAGTGTGCAATGAGGGAAATTTTGCCAGGAAAGCAGAATTAGCCTACTTCTTTTGTATTTCCAAATGTGGAGTGATCTTTAACATGCACAGCCTGTAGTAGACAAAACAGTGAGGCCAACTAAAAATCTAGAATAAAATACAGATGTATAATTTTCACTCACCTAAAGAATTTTCTCGTTTACATAATTTACATTTTATAACTAAACTAGCTGACCCCCTACCTCCAGTTACACCAGTACTCTCCTATAAATTTTCAAATTGGAAGAAATTCAGATATGTATGCTTAGTTCAAGACCGGCTGACAAACGATGTTTATGCTTCTATCTGATACTGATCAAAGGTGGACCTTGATTAAGTCACATCTAAAATTTACCCATCTATTTCTTTCTCGGTCATTTTGAATTCTGTCTACACCTATTTTTTCAGCACACATGGAACCCATTCTGAACTCTGTTCCAACTTTTATTGAATGTTCTGTTGATTCTATAAATCCTGAAAATTCAGAGCTCACCAATCTAGCTGCCCCATGTCTGATATCACTGATGTATATAGTGTTCAGTTACATAATATAGGCCTGATAATAAATGACTCACTGATAACGAGGCAAAAACAAAATCTGGTGTTTCTTCATTACAATTCATACACTGGAGCTGTAAACAAAAAACAAAAAAATAATTTTTGCATAAGCTGCTAACAACATTTAACTTGAATGGAAATTGCAAATCACTGACACAGTTGTCTTACTGAAAATTGGGAAATAATTTTTAGTCCACTACCAATATCTTCATGATTCTTATCGCCTTCAAATATCAGAAAAGGGGACAGTCTAACCTATTAAGACCACGCCCACTTTTTTTATGTTTACCTTCATGCACCAACCGAAATCTTCAGTGTCAGCCGGTTCCAGTTCCGTCACTCTCTCCAGCTGGGCACATATCTGTAGCGATATCTTCTACAATTAAAAAAAAAGCATGATAATTTAAGTTTTCATTGATACAAACAGAATATTTACAAATTATCGATAATATTTCAACACGTTTACGATATTTACCACCATATTGAAAAACAGCGCCACTACACTAAAAGGGACGTAACTCATCGGTCTAAATTGAATTAAGACTACAGTTAAATGTTTTGCGGCCGAAAAAATAAAAACTATAGGGAGGAACGTAACTCGCCAAGAATTATAATGATTTAAGACTACAGTTAAATATTTGAGACTGAGAAAAACTGATAGGGAACGTAAGTCGGCAAGACCAATAGTGATTGATAGAAATATATCGAACCTCAAAAAACACATAGGAATTAGGAGTGACGTAACTCGCCAAGATCCACGATGATTTTAGATCACAGTTAAATAATTATGGGATAAAAACATATTTTACAGGGATATTTGAATAGATGGAAAAACAAGGTGAGAATTTCTTCAATAATCATATAAAAACTTCATATCAGACCCCTCAACAGAAAGGCTGTTATATTATGTCTTTGGGACTCTCTCTCAAGACCTTTGATTGGCTGTATTCGCTAGCGTATAAGCTAATCAAATTGCTTCATTTACAAACTTCTGTGATACAAGCAAGGTGACTATTGCAGTCAAGGTATAAGTACGAAGTTCGTAATAGGTTGACATTTCCACAACTACCAAACCAACAACAACCACAAGATTGAATTAGTATGGGTCCCATAGCACGCCCCCATTCCTGGCAATGATCAAGCAGACCGTTGTGCCAAGGAAAGTCTGAGTCTGGAGGATATCGAACCTGTAGAATACTCCTATTCGGAATTCTGCAGTATCGTATCTTCTACGATCAACCAGAAATGGGCCGACATGCTACGGAACCTCGACACCGCAAGATACCAGATTGATCCGAAGATACCAAACCAAACCATCCATCTGTAGCCATCTGCAAGTGGTAACCAGACTCCGAACCAACAACGTACTACGAGACCACCAGTTCAATGTCATTAAATTTCGCTGCGACCACGTTGCCACAAGGTCGCATGTCTTCATTCAATGCACTGAACTGAAACCCGCTCGTAAGCCATCGACAGAGTATCTGGAAACCCACGGCATACCACTCACCATACAGAATGTTTTGGCTCCACCCACGGACCACCGGTATACGATAATGGAACTCATCTTCCATTTTATAACCAAATCTGTCTTGAACAGATAGGCTAAGTTTTTATACTCAAAGTTTCTTAACGCTTTTAATTATATCCATTCCAATCAATTTAACATTTTGTTGAAAGCTTTTCCCCCTTTTTATCAACTATAGGCTAATATTTCAATTTATTTGATACCTGAGACAAGACATTTTCTGATTAAATATCAGAGGCTACTTGATGGAAAAATTATTATTTCGATCGATCTAAAATGCAAATGAAACGAATTTCTGACATTTATCATTTCAATAGACTTACTAATTTTGTGCACGCCCGCAGTTCGAAAGAAAACTTTGTTTACTACCATTTACGTAGTGTGACGTTATCCCTTCTCCAGCCGCCATTTCTCTCCATGAGTGGACAGTATACACGACACATCTCTTCCCATTTTAAAACTCGAAATTCAACCTTCTACAACTCTTGCCAGAAACCTCTTTGAAAGTTTTCTGTAACAGGGTTTTTTGAAGATACGATGAAACTCTAGGTCGGGGTTCGATAAATTTTATTACTAATCTAAACAATAACTCTGAAAAATACATAAATAATTCTTATAAAAACAAATAATGAAGGAAATTCTCAACACAAATAAATAATACAAATTATAATGCATATTTAGAAATATATAACTAAAGAAAATCCATAAACAATCTTACCCTATGATATAGGAGTTATTCTAAACTTGTATAAAATTAGGTGTATGCTAAATAACCATGTAGCCTAAGATTTCTAAAGGAAAACAAAGATGGCTGTCGTAACTAAAGGAAAACAACTTCATGAAAATAAGTTATTACAAAATTACATTTCTAAACGAGAATTGCATTGAATAAAAAAGATTTGTCCAGTCTGTAGAGTAAAATAGAATAAAAGAATAATAACTTACCAAGAAAGATGACATCAAACATACAAACATACAATATTAGGTGAAATGACAGAAGTGAAGTAAGAAAGAGAGAGAAAGTCTTATATAAGAGACTGATTAGAATTTAAACTGAGTAAAAATGAAGAAAAAAGCTCACTCTGCTGGTAAACAACTTAAAGCTACCGTGGATAAACTAGGAAAGAAAAAGAAACTTAAAGCCATACTTCAGAAATAAAGAAAAAGAAACATGATAAATTTTATATAATAAAATACGACTACCTCATTTCCAATATGTCATGAAAGAATGTCCAATTTAGTCTCCTAAAAAATTCATTATATGATGACCATGAAAATTTTGAGGTAGTAAAATTGAAAGTAGAATACTACCGGTTTTTATAATAACTAAATCGCGCACTCTGTAATAGGACTGACTGGACTGAAACATTTTATGCAAATTATTGTATATTATTGTATACGAATTTAGTCCAGGCAATTTTTAGAAATATTCTTTCTCTCTTCCTTTTGGAGTTTTTACATGCCTATTTTTGAGTAATTTTTGGTCTAGATTTGTAATTTGATGCCTAAAATTGCATAATCTTTAAGATTTGGTGAGATGATGAGAGACTTAAAGTCGGAAGGATAATTCTAAAAATAGTCGTTTTGTGAACTGTCAAACTCTAGCGGATGAGTATCTCTATGGGACTGAGTTATCTTTTCAAATGGTCAAATGCTTATCTCAAGCCCTAGGCTGAAGATCTTAGTTAGACGGAAGGAAGGAAGGAAGGAATAGAACAGTGGCAGATATCTGTAGAAAGACCCATCTGGCCATGCTCTGCACATCTCGCACTCACACTTCACAAAAACAAGGTTACTATAAAGAGATCCAAACTGAAAGGAAAATACCCTAAAGACTAAACAAACCAGCCTGCATTAAGGAAACCATCTTTATGTTTGTTGTTTTTTTGAGCAATTTAAGTTTACTATAGATAAAAAAATTAAATTCGTTTCGATTGTTTTTTTTCCCCCAGTCCAATTCTACAATTGACCAGCTGGTAGACGTGTTTTCCAAACAACCCTACACTCGTAGATTACCTTACAAGACAAATTAATCGAGCTCTAAATTCAACAGGCGCAGTCTTTTGAATGGAACACGAAGACCTTTGCCCAGTGTGCTACAGGCTGTGTACGAAACGTTAAAAGGTCCCTGGACAATTCAATCTAAGACAAAATTTTTAGGCTAATGCCTCTATGTTGTGGCAAAATTTCCCTTATTGCACACGGCTTATTGTAGGCTATACATACACAGCCCGTCTTCATTAGCAGCTGCAGAAATGTGGGACGTACACTCTCCATTCATTTCATTTCCGAAATTCCGCCAATCACAAATAAGGATTAT